TAATGATAGTAATAATAATAATAATGATAATAATAATGGTGATAATAGTAATAATATTGATAATTGACAGTAGTTATTAATTATGATAATAATTAACAACAATTGCATTTATATAGATTGCATATCCTCGCTCTCCAGCATGCACCATGCATTTGACTAGTTATCACCCCAGCAGTACTTAAAACACTTGGAAACGTTCTCAGCTTCCATGGAAGCATTCAGTGCAAGCTGCGGATTACACACACCTAAGTACACGTACTAACGAACTGACAAAATCCTTCGCCGTCTATAGCTGAATATGCATTCCCTCCACCTCTGTGAAGTTTAAAGTGCCTTTCTCAAGGACAAGGCAGTAGCATTGGGCCCCTGACACTGACGAGTTTGGAACCGACGACTTTAGGGTTGAGAGTCTGAGAGCCTAACCACTGGGCTAACAATGCCACTCTATTCTTTGCAATGTGGTTGATTATTGTGTTGATGTCTACCTGTGTCTTTCTTAAATATTTTCTGTCAGGATCTTTTTTGGTGAGGCGATTTTTTTGATCAGGTGATTTTTTTTTGGTCTTTGTTTTCCTTTTCCTTGCACTATATTACTGTTATTGCATCGGCATGCTTCTCTTTACTGTCGGTGACATTCACAGACACAGGTGTGTGTGGGAGTGTGTGTGTGTGTGTGTGCGCGCGCGCGCTTGTGTGCGTATGTGTGTGTTTGTGTATGCGTACATGCATGTAGGTAGGTAGATTGGGTGGAGGGGGAGGTATTCCTAATGTATTCTATTAGGGACATTTTTGACGAATCAAAATACGGTACTCCAAACCCCCTGAAAACACACACACACACACACACACACACACACACACACACACACACACAATAAAAAAGGAGGTAAGAGATTAACAAAATTTCAAGAAATAGCCGATGTGGCCCCTTATCTCCATTAACCAGTCTTTCTCTTGCCCTTCCAGGATGAAGTTGTGGTCCTGGGCGAGCGCATCGTGCTGCGCCTGGACGATCTGGTGCCTCTCATCCAGGAGGATTTCAAGTGGACCTATGGCAATGCAGCGTTCTGCAAATCCAAGAGTGGGAGTGGCACAGTAGCTGTGAAGGAGGAGCCCGGAAGCAAAGCTCTGAAAAATGGTGACGTAGCCCGGGCCATTAAGCCTGAGGTCACTGACAATGGCACTGGTAAGCTTTTAATAATAATAATGGCAATAATAATATTAATTATAATGATAACAATAATAAAAGTAATAATAATAATGATGATAATAATAGTAATAATTATAATACTACTACTACTACTACTAATAGTGATAATAATAATAATTGCATTTATGTATTTGAGAAGTGCACAGTTCAAGCTGCGAATACTACTGGTGTGGTAGTTCCTCTGTATCTGATCATGTTTTTGAGAATGGTTATTCTGTTGCGAGGGTTTTGTTTTGTTTGTTTTTTTCTTCCTGAGTTTGAAAAGTTTGTACCTGTTCTTGAAAAGTGTTGACCTCATTGAATTCCCGTTTTCTTGCATTTTTAAGTCCCTTTTGCCTCTACAATTTTCTAAAGCTTTGTAATATATAATGCTTTTATCGTAAATTTTGTTGTACTGAATTTAAAAGGGCACTTTTTATTGTTTTGAGTTGATTCACGGTATGATGGGTGCTCTGGTGTGACATGCCCTTTCCACTTGTCACAATTGCTGTTTGCCTTGACTTCTTCCTGGGCTATTGCTCTGTTTGTTTAGTTGGTATCATGCTGGACTAGAGAACGGATGGCCCTGGTTTGAATCCTAGACTGGACATTCTTGAATTCGGGTAATTTTGTCAAGTTTTCAAGGTTTTTGTCAAGTTTTCAAGGATTTCAACCCGTATGGCTCAATCCTGTTAGAGAAAGATGTCAAATTCGGTGATACCGCCTCTTTAATAACCTTTATAGTGTTAATAGGGTGGTTAAAACCATACACTTTGGACTTCTTTCTTTCATAAAGTAGTTGCTGTTGTTGTCGCCAATGAGAAGTCTAGTCATCAATCTATACATGTAGCATTCCACTGCATGGCATAATAACCAGTCATAAGCACCCAGCCCTTGGCTTTTCTGTCACGGAACAAATCAATACATTCCCTTCTGTGGGTATAGACAGTGGGTGACCTGAGCATGCCACAGCTGACAAAAATCAATATATCAATATTCTTTCAGCAGAAACAGAGAAGATGGTTTTGATTCTCTTAAGTGTTTGCTCCCACAAGCAGCAATGCTGTGGTCCCCCTCATTTTAGCCATATTCCTGTCAAAGAGCTTTCAGCAGTTACATTAGGGAGGGTGTATTATTTTTGCCTTTGAAAATGTGAAAGGAATAGAATCCCTGTTGTAAAACTATTTTGTATTTTGAGTCGTTCCCTCCCCGCCCCCATCATACTAATATATCGCAGGGGTTTGCACTGTTGTATCAGACCAGTGGGTTTTTTTATGTGTTGAAGATAGTGTAGGGAGGTACATAATTACCAGGTTTATTTTATCCAACAGTAGAGACTTTATACATCAGAATGAAAACAAAAAAATAATGTTTTGCCTCCACAATTGTGGTGTCGGTGGTCTAGCAGGCTCATAGTTCACAGGTTCAAAGCCCTTCTGGGACTTGTCGTTGTATCCTTGGGAAAGGCACTTTACTTTACACAAATTTTCCTCACTTCAGATACCTGGCTGTAGAGAAAGATCATGTCAGTTTGTTAGTGTTTGAGTCTTTATAATCAGCTGCTTGCCCTGTATGCTTCCTGGGAAGCTGTGAATGTTCATAAGAGTTCTCGGGTCTGCTGGAGTAATAATAGTAGTAAATGGGCATAGAGAATGGATTTGTGCTATACCATAATGGAATTGTTATCATTATTATTAGTATTATTTTTATTGTTATTAGTATCATCATCATCATCATCATCATCATCATCATCATCATCATCATCATCATCAACACCATCATTATTATCTTTGATATTATGTTCAAGCAGATGGTGTCGGGAACTTAACAATTTCACAGGATATTTCTTCACGTTGAAAGAAAGAGTCTGTTTTACAGGAAAAATAATGTCATATATCTGTAAAAGTAAACTTCGGCCTTCTCTTCGGGACATATATTTGACACAATACACACAACCAGGGCCTGCACTCTCAGTGTGAAGCCAAATTTGGGTTGTCATGACATCAAGTGTGAATCAATCATGCTTTTATTCTATTTTTAGGGGAGGGGGGGGGGGGGGGGGGTGTGTGCGTTGAAATGTAGTTTTACCTTCATATCAGTGATGGGTATGAATTTGCACATGTACTGCTAGGGATGTCAATAATTTGTCATTGAGCTACCACTTACTACTCGGTTCTTTTTGTTTCTGTTGTAGGAGTGATTTTGTAATGTTCTTCAGCAGATTTTGCAAGTGGGTGGTCGGAGGGCACCACTAATTGGCCGCCTCTACTTTTCTTTCCATCTGTTGCTGTTTGATTGCCTTACTCCTTCCCTACACTAAACGGCCATTTTTATGTCTTTTTCTCTTTGCTCAAACAGACAAACAAACAAATGAATTTTACTAACTTTTCCCCATTGCTTCACAGCTGAAAAAGTGCCACTGGGTGCTGCTAATGTGGCAGTGATGAGCTACCCAAAGTATTGCCGCTACCGTGCTGTGATGCGGCGACTCGAAGGGTGTGAGAATGAGTGGCTCCATGTGGCTGTGGTGCTGGCCATTGGTGGGTACGCGGCCAAGGCTCCCGGCTGCCGGGTCATGTTCTGCAAGGACTCCTTCTACCATTCGGACATTGATGATCTGGACATTCGCATGGACCATATGTGTGAGTGCTTCCTTTATTCTCTGGTCAATTGACATTCTGTGAAAGGTACTTTTTTCCCCTATTTTAGGGGGGGGGGGGGTGTTACTTTTACCGACATATCAGTCGGGAATATGAATTAGCACATGTCCAGAAAGGGATGTCAGTAGTGCAGGTTTGATACAAAATTTACAATTTTTGTTTTTGCTTTTTTTCTCTAGCTTGACCAGTGTGAGGTATAAAAATGTGTTGAATGGGTTTAGCAGTGCGACTGAGACTTTGATGCAGTCTGGAAAAAAAAGTGAAGCAAATGATGAGGGGAGAAGTATAAATTTTACTGCCGATATATTGTAATAACAGTCGCTGCAATGGAACCCACAGGGAGCACGAGGCACGGGAAACATGTAGGAGATGTGTGGAAAGGGACATGAGAGAGATAAAGGGTGGCCCAGGAGAAAGATAAATGGAAGGAGCTTGCATGTGTCCCCTTTCCCTGTCAGGGGTGGAAGGCGTTGATTATGATATATCATAATTTGAAGTCAACTACTACAGAATGCGTACACATGCGGGATAAAATTTTTAAAATGAAAAGTACACATTTTTTATAGTGGTTTTTGGAAGTTTGAGGCGTATTTTTTTTTTTTCATGTATTTTTTCCCCCTATGTGTCATTACTAGTGATGTAATGGTGTGTAATGGTTTTTTTTGTTTCAGTGCCTGTTCTCAAAGCTCGCAACAAAGGCAAAAAGTCCAAAAGCATTTCTCGGAAAGATTCCCAGCACGACTCGGACAGCATGGAAGAATTGTTTGCCAACATTACACCCTCCATATCCACGTCTTCAAGGGTAAGTGACCAAATTCTGATTACCTGTCCAGGCTGGTAAATCTATAGTTGAACCTAATCATGGAACCATCTCAAAGTGAATTCAATCATCTTTTTCTTTTTGTTTCCCCTCGTCCCCACCTTCTCTACGCTCAGTTCTGCTGGTTACCTAGTCTTAAGACAACTAGAACCTTTTTCGCATTCCCGTCCGATTCTTGGCCGGTTTAACTGTACTTTAGTAATTTGTCTTTACTGCTGTTTCGTATTGTTATCCTTCTCACTCCCCAATATCCATGGACACATGTTGCCGTTGAAAATATTCTTTTTACAAATCTTGTTAATACAAATTAAATATAATGAATGTTGAAAGTTTGTTGGGCAAATTAGATGAAAGGAAAATTTATAATTTGTTTTCTTCATCTTCTCTGGTTGCCTCATTGATCTGGAAGTAAAGTTTACAACAACCCCGACAAGTAAAAACATTAAAGGAAAGAATTATCAAAATGACTTAAACAAGGAAGCAGGTGCTTGGAGGATGCCTCGAGTAGGTTATCTTAAATTAAAGTCTTTACTTTTCCTTTGTTGTTTCAGTCTGTTTTACTCTTTCCATACATTAAATGACTGTAGTTTGTGTCAATGTGCTTCTTTTTACACAAACTCTGAGCAGCAGGTGGTTGGCGGGTGCTCTTGTGCGGTTTGTTCCTTCTTTCCTGTCATACATCTGTTGCCCTGATCTCTTCTCCTTTTTTGTGTTTGTAAATTAAGTTCTCTTGCAACACCTCTAATCTTCTGCACTTACATGACCTTATTAACTTTAAACAAAATCAAAGGAGTTTTAGTGCAAAATTGATTTACAATAATTAATAAGAATATTCTGTTGTGTTTATTAGAACTAACTGGGCATTTTTAACTTCATATACGCTGGTGTTTGGCGAGTACCACTTGTAGGTAGGTCCTACTCTTTCTCTTTCCATCTGTTGTTTCTGTCTATCTGTCTTGCTTCTTCCCCACTCTATATGACCGTTTTAGTGTGAATATGCTTCTCTGTACTCAAACTAACTCAACACACATATATATATATATATATATATATATATAAAGTAAACATCCTGTTTCTCTGCACTTTGTATGTAGCCACGGCGGTCAACTGATACAGGTGACCTCAACGAGGATAAGGTCAGCACCGAGGAGCAAGCTTTTCTCTTCGGTCTGCACAAGTTCATGCACGACGCAAAAATGCCCATTGGTCGCATTCCTTCTCTTGGATTCAAGCAGAGTAAGCTTGTTGTTTTTTTGCTGTTTTCTCCCCTGACTTGGTGCTATATGGTTGTGTCTTTGTCAACTTCTATGCTTTTAATTTATGTAAAGTAGTGAGGCTGAGAAAAGAAAATCCATCCATGGCTTATAAGACTTCTAGTTTCTTTTTACATGGACATATGGTCCTCTTGAATCCTGTTCTATCTGTAAATTCTGTTATAGTGAAGCATTTAAAATTGTATATGTTCAAGCCCTTTGTTTGTTAAATAAAATAGGAACTTCATCAGTTTCAGTACATGTCTTTTGACATAGTCTGAGCTTGGTAAATCATTTTCCCTTAAAATTGTTTTCTCCGTTTTCCTGAATATATCATCATATTCTCTTATTTTTTTCTTCAGTAGACTTGTACTATTTTTACAAGCAAGCAGAGAAACTTGGCGGTTATGATATGGTAAGTGTAATTTACTTCATGGAATCAAATTTTGTTGTCCTGTTTGAGTTTTATACCTTTTTGTAATTGGATTTTTTCTGAAGGATATGTTTTGTACCTGGAGTGACGGCAGGCAAGTTTGAACAGACTTGGTTTATTTGTAGGTTTATTGAAATGAAAATGAAGTCAAAGAATTTTGTACCTTTGATTCAAGTTGTTGTTTATACTATTTCATGCTAAAATACAAAAAAGTGAATATTGTCTCATTAGTTCCAGTTGTACAAGACTAGGCTTGGGGCCTGTGCAAAGTGCATACTGTGCCAATTTGTTTCTTTTACGTGGTAGAATTTAGATATACATATCTCTGTGTGTGTGTGGGGGGGGGGGGGGGGGGGACTCAGATAGCGGTATTGTTATGCTCTTCAATAAGTAGAAAATATGTTCGTAGGAGTTTGTCGCTTTGGAATTTTGTCAAAGTCATATTATGATTTCAGTTTTCCTAATTATGATAATTGAACTGATGTCCTTTTGTGTTCAGATCACAACAAAGCGAATGTGGAAACATTTGTATGACAAACTTGGAGGCAACTCGAGCAACACAAGTGCTGCCACTTGCACAAGGAGGCATTATGAAAGGTATGGCATTTACTAGACATTTCCCATTACTGAAAGTTTGGAATTCAACTGTAAAGAAGCTTTTCAATATTTTTTTTTAAAAGGGAAGGGTGGGGGGTGATGTTGTAAGGGTTAATGTTTTGATATATATGGTGAGGATGGACACTTTATGCTTGATTTTGTACCAAGAACAGTGGACCGACAGACAAAGAGGTGATAGTTTTATGAGGATAAAAGCAATGCAGAACCTCACCCAGAATTGAGTGTCTGGTTCTCTGCCTGTTCTTTCAAGTTTGAAACATGTTTTTACCTTTGGAGCTTGGACATTGAATATTACTTTAAGCTGTTCAAGAGGTTGGGATTCATGTGCAAATTATGTTCATGTCTAGTTTTCCTCGCTCAGTTCACAGCTTTTGGGTCCTGTGTACTTCAGGGTTCCAGAGTTTTTTCTAGACTTTATGATGTTCAATCCAAAAGTGTTCAGAATTAACTTTGAAACAGATCTTTGACAAAATGGATCAGGTACTCCTGTTTATTGGTTTGTGAATCATTTTTTGTTTTTGGTGTTTTTAAGGCGCTGGCATCTGCATAAGGTCATATGAGTGCCCAGGACACATTAAGTATTTTCAGTTTGGTAGGAATTTTGAATTTTACCCAGATGGCAGCCAAAGCCTACTCCTATCGATTTTGTGACCACCAAGGCATCTTTGATGTGCGCAACTTACACATGGGACCTCTAAGATTTCTTAGCCCTTATCTGAGAAGGCTAGATGTTAGATCATACCTACCATAAGATAAAGGGTGTGGCTGAAAGACAGCAGTAAGAAGGAGCCAAGGAGTCTCTCTCTCTCTCTTTCGTCTGGCGCCGTGGTGTCATAAACGGTCGGCGATGCCAACAGCACGCAGGAACTCACCACTTGCCCAGGGGGTCCTTAAAAAGTGCTGAAAATGGGTTACTGAAATGTCCCAGCAGACGGGAATAGCAGTAGAAAGGCTGCAGAAAGAGTCAGGAGCCCAGAGGAGGGGGAAAAGTTTGTGGATCATAACGGCTGGCTGCATTTTGAAATCAGGTGGTAAATTGCCAACATCAGAAGAGCAACATTTTTTCATAAGCAGTTTCACATGATTATGTTTATGTGGAGCAAGTTGAATGGAGTTGATTCTGGCGAAAGCAAAACAAGGGGCTTCAGTTTTTGTCTAAGGTAATGTAAGATGGGTGTGAGGTGGGCCTAATCTAAGCCTAATCTAAGCCTAAACTTCACACCAGTGTCAAATTTCACAAGCTGGAACAAGCGAATGCCCTATTTTGACCTGTAAGTACAGTTCAAGGGAAACAATCTGTACCACATGGGATAAGCCACGTTCTCTTCCTGATAATTTCCAAACTGATATTGTAAAGATATATTGAAAGGAAATGATATGCTCCAAATTTGTATTGTGGGCAAATCAATTTAATCGATTTTCACTGAAATTTAATCGATTTTCACTGAAATTCCTACAAAAAAGAAACAATTCTTGTTAACTTTAATGTTTTAGGAGAGAAGTGCAGCTGTTGCACAATACTGAGAAGCTTCTCTTTAAATGAATTTTATTCTCTTGAAATTTCGATTTTTCACTGCTCTATTGATTTATGTTCTTTTTTTTTAAACTTCCACACAATTGTCAGCTTGAATTGACCAATCTTCACTGCTAGTATTGTCTTTTTTTGAAAAATGCTTGTCTATTTTCGTCCCTCAAAATATGTTACCCTGAGGAGAGAGTTACCCATACAAATTTTTATATAAAGAAAGATCACTCAAAAGACTGGTATCACTGAATTAAAGTCTGGGGCTCAGTACCTCAACAGGTATGGTGTTTGCCTGTCAACCAGGAGGTCTGGAGTACGACCCTTTCAAGCACTAGGTTTTTTTCCTCATGTTATAAATACCGTGGGATCCTATGGTAGCTAGGATGGAGCACTTGGTCATCTCTGGTAAAGATGAAAAATTTCGGAGGTCTGATGTGGAAGTTTTGCATGTTTATGATGCCTCAACAGTTATAAAATAGAAGAGAGTAGGCCCATCGAGCTGCCATCACGGCAAAATTTAATTCAAAATGAATTCCTACCCTGACTGAAGCTGTTCTGGTCATTATAAATATTAAAAGTACAGTCGAACCTGCTTTAACGGAAACCTGTGTAAAACGGAAAACTGTCTTAACGGAATCTTCCTGCTTCCCCCTTGATATATTCCTCTTTAATTACCTGTATAAAACGGAAACCTGTCCAACGCGGAAACGGAAAGAAAAATCCGCTCCCTTCTGAGGGTTTCACCTGTCTAAGACGGAAAATGCTTTGCAGCCCTGATTTGAAACAAAACTCGCAAGTGTGGTTCCCCAACTCTAACTTAACGACATGGCCATGCCGCTGGGCGAGAAAGGGGAGTAGGGGAGCGATTTGGGGGTAGATGTTACCCCACCATGTGAGCCCTGAGGGATGCAGATGGTCAGTGTAGTGTGGGTGTGAAATCTCACGACTGCCCGTGAGAGTGCTCGAGTAGCGAGCCACTACGGAAACTTTCTTGAGTAGCCAGAAGCCAGAGGTGTGAAATTAGTTTGACCAATGCCTGCGCCCCTGATCGTACGGCCAGCCGAGAAAAAACAAGAAAATGAGGGGTGGCATTGGTGGTGGGTTGGGCTAAGGGTGGAAGCAAAGGAGATGTTCAAACATTTCTGTTTTTAATAGGTCAAACAGTGGTCCTATGAAAGGCAAGCACTGGTGGTAATTGGATAAGTAAGACTGACGCATGTCATTATCAGACATGATAGCAGCTGAGAGGTGTGAAGTTTTGACCACTGCTTGCCGATCGGACAAGTGATCCTTGATCCCACCAGCTGGGCCTTTGAACCCTCCCCCCACCTCCATTTCCCCCTAAATTCCCCAAAGAGGGAAAATGTCTAAGACGGAATTTTTTTCTGGCTCCCTTGCGATTCCGTCTTACACAGGTTCGACTACTGTAGAAAACAGAATGAGGTTGCCTGTCAGGCAGGGGGTGATTTTACTTTCTATGTAGATAAAACAGCCGTATGCATAAAAATCAACTGCATTGTGAGATAAGATCTTACAGTCAGTTACAGTGTGAACTTCAGCAGGGATACACAGAAGAAGAAAAAGCCTGAATTGGGTACTTATGTCCAAATGTTTACTTTGGTTGTGTGGTTTATTTTCTTACCTTTCTCTCTTTTTTTCTCCCTTTTAGGCTCCTTTTACCTTATGAGAGACATTTGAGGAAAGGAGGTAAACCAAAGAGGAAACACAAGCACATAGAGAAACAAAGAGGAGATCAGTCTGCCGGCAAAGAAATCAGTGATTCCTCTAGTCACAAAGAGGTAAGACATTTTGTTTTATTCAGCAAAAACTTTGGGATGAGTTCTGTTTGTTTTATGTGGTTATGCAAAATTTACAAGGAAACGTTTTAGTTTAAGCTTTTAAGTGAAACATAGAAGATGATATTGAATTGAATTGCTTAAAAACGCTGTTGTTACGTTATGATGTGGTGGAGAAAGACGGTTTGTTTCTGTCTTTAATGTTCACTACTTTAAAACATGACATACATATGGTTAATAGTGGTGATTTTATGATTTGTTGGAGAGGTCAGAATAGAAAACTATTTGAGATTTTTTAAAAATAGACTAGTGGAAGATGAGAGGGTGTTATAGTTTTTTTCTTTTTCCTTCTTCTTTTTTTCAAGGCAAACCTTATGCTCTTAAGGGGGATGGGGCAATTTGTCTGTGAACAGTCATTGTTTGTAACTTCTTACCCAAGACGATGATTATTGTTGTTAGGTGGTTCTTGTTTTGTCTTTTAGCCACCTAGCCCAAAATGTCGTATACTGTGATAGTTGCAAGAAAAATGAGTGGCTCTCTCTCTGACCGTGCTTTACAGGGCGAGTACACAATATTTGAGTGGCTCATTTTTCTTGTAACACCTTTGATATATATATGTTCTAGATACAAATGAGTAGGCCTGTCCTTGTGTACATTTTCAGAATGTAGAAAATAAGGATGAGGTTGAGGTGAAAAAAGAGAATGTTGAGTCTGCTGAAGTGGACTCAAAGGTGAGTGGGTGTTTCCCCCCCTCCCTTCCTAGCTTGATGGCTTGACGGCTTGACTTGGTCATTTATTTACATTTTCATCGAATTTTACTTCATAAATGTATGCATTTTCACTCTTCCATTGATGCGGGCAGCTTTGTGTACACACTGTTTTCGTTGTGTTGGAATGCTTTTCTTTTTTCCGTCTTAAGGTTTGCATATAAACTGGGAGACTCTCATTTTGATGCTCTTTCAATATCTGCGCTTTCATAAGAGGAGATTTCATTTATGCTGGGATTTTGCACTGTTATGCTTTTTCAATGCTTGCAGTATACTCATCTTGCTTTTCTAGATCAAGAACTTGCCAGCATAAACACTGCTGTGTTATCGAAAAATTGGTTATTATTGCAAAGAGCATTGGCTGTGGGGTTTGGTTTTTTTCATTGATAAAGCTGATTTGAATGCTGATGTAATCTGGCATTGCTGAAAGCTTTTGTCAATTGTTTTTATTCTTTTGCAGCTAAGCATTGATTTTTTTCCTAGAGCCATTGCCTCATGTGGTTCATGTCAAGTGGGTTTTGTTCAGAGGTTTTGCCAACACTTACAGCGTACTACTCTTACAGCGTATAGGACAATCACGTTTATATGCCTTGCAGCTTTTCTTTGTAATGAATTGCATGGACGAAAGCTTTTGTTTATAAAAACCCTGGAGAAATGTTGCTATCATGGTCGAAATAATTCAATTCATACTTGGTATTTATTCTTTTTTAAAATTAATTATTGTCAGTTTGAGACGCTTGTTTTGTTTTGAAATAAATTATTGTCAGTTTGAGACGAAATGCTACAACTTTGTAGGTTCAGCAAAAAATGTACAAGTTGAAAATTATGCTTGTAATGGCAAATGAATATTGTTTTAAGACTATTTTCCTAGGCTTCCCAGATAAAATTTTCTGTCTGTAATATAAATGCTTCAAGGGCTACCAACTAAATTTAAATCTAATGTAGGATGTGAACAATTTTGCCTATTGTTATGCTTATTGTTAAATTCTTCAAATCTTAAATTTTCATTCTGCAGGTGTTTGCCCAGTTTTTCTGTCAAAAAGATATTAAATGTGTTTGCTATATAAGCATTATTCCTGTGTCACAACTATTTATTAACTTGCAGCAAGAAGTGAATAATGTTCCATATTTGTCTGTTTTATCTATTAATATTTTGGATGTTTAAAAGTTTTAACTTTTATTTTATTTTCTTCATTCTCAGGTGGATATCAAAAGGAAAACATTTAACGAAAATGTGACTAATGTGGATGAGGCAGCACTTCGCAAAGATAAATTGCCTTCCGGCTCTGCAGAACATTCCTCTGAGGTGCACCAGGGTGGTGGGCTAGAACCGCTGGAAGTACCTTCAGTGAAGCAGCGACCTCCAGGGTCCAAGAGCGCACCGTTTGAGGACAAGGCTTCTTTTAATGACCATGACAGTCAGAGCCACCTTCCTGGTCCTTCTGATCAAGCTCGCGAGCGACACGCCGATAGCCACCACCTGAAACCATCGTCCAGCAACAGCTTAGCAGCTCCTGCCCCCTCTCCTCTCGCCTCCATCTCCGCAGAAAGTCCCGTGATACCTTACACAAACTTAATGTACCGTGGTGGGTATCTCCTGCCCGTTCTCCCCCCGCACATGTTGTCTCCATGGGGAGTCCTTCCCCCTCATGGCAGTGCCTCTACGTCGCACCCTGGTGGGGAGGAGTCGCTGAGAAGTCCCTCAGTCAAAGACTCAATAAGTCCCATTGCCCACAGCACACCGATTGGCCGCCCATCGAAAATAGATCAAACTGCTGCAGCGAACAGTACAGGCAGTGCTGCTGCCCGCGGCTTGGAAGTGTCAGGAGGCCCATCCCTGGCTCCTCGTAGCAGCACGTCTGCCCACAGCAAAGCACCAATCAATGCCCACACCCACCAACAGCTTCCGGCAGCCAGCGGCACCCTGAAAGCAGCTCACAGCAACACTCCGTACGAACCATCACCCTACCTGCTCCAGGACCACATTCAGCCAGCAAGAGGAGCACCCCCATCAGCCCTTTCATCAGCATCACCTGCCTACCGTGCCCAATCGTCTCGCTACCCGCACTCCAATGACCTGTTAGGACACACTAGTCACAGCCTTGCCCCCATTATGCACCCAACGCCGCCAGGTCACAAGAGTGAGCTGTGTCTGCCCCCAGCACCAGCCTCCCTCTACCTAGATCCCAGATCAAACAACCCCTTCTCCCCTCTGCCCGTGCCCATCAGCGGCAACCCTTCTGCTGCCCACAACCAGCCCCGCAAGCGGACTTATCCATTTGACAATCTCAACGTGACACCTGCGTCCAGTGTATTCCCCAGCCCAGACATGGTGCTGAATCGAATCAAGAGCTCTGCAGGTTATTTTCTTTATGCTTTGGCACGGTCATTTTTATAGAAGAGTCTGCTTATATCAAAATCTGCGGTACTGCTGGATTTTTCTTTGGTTAAGCCAGGTTTAGAGAGTCAGCTCATACTGAAGAAAAAAATCAGGGATTTTCTTTTCTTTCAGTTTATTGCTGTTTTTAGATTAACAGTGTTGGGTATAAGCAGACTCCACTGGAATATCTTTACTTTTTAAATGTTTGGATGTGGAACTTGGCACACAAGTGTTGTTTGTCCTCTCTGTCAGCTGCTATCTGATACCCTCTTTCATCTTTGTTTTATGTTCCATTTTCCCTTCTTTTTGACCTTTAGGGCTTGTTATTGTTTTTGTGAGCTTTCTGTGTTCTAACACCCCCCCCCCCCCCCCCCCCCCCCCCCCCGGTGGTGCCTCTGACGGAAGTATCTTTAGGCCATTTCCAAAGGGGGGACATTGAAAGTGGGCGGATTCAACAATGTCACGCTCATTACTGTGCCTGAACTGCAACAGGAAACCGCTGCTTATTCTTTCCTAATCCTATGGTCATTTTCCCTCTACTTCTTTTGTATGTTTGTCACTCTCTTGTGACCCGCTATTTCCGGGGTGTTTTGATATTTGAAGCAGACATTGTGCTGTTGAATCTAGAGAGGTGAGAAAAGTAAGTCTGATTCCCTGTAAAGACTCCTCTGTTGACATCCACCCTTTGGCGTTCGTATGACCTTATGCAGTTGTGAGCACCGTAAAACCTCTACTAAAACAAACTTTCTATGTTCTGGGTTTATGTAAATTTCTTTCTGCCTTGTTTTGTTCTAATACTTTCTTTACTATTTTAATTCATAATGCCTTTCTAATGCCTTTATCTGCTTTTAAAGTTGATTGATTAGTTAAATTATATTGACTAATTTTGTAAATATTTGTAGCAAGTTACTGTGAATTTAGTTGTTTAGAATTAAGAATCTTTTAGAGGAAACAACACTTATTTATAGGTATAAGCTGAGTAAGTGTGTACTGTACTATCATGTGATATTTTAGTGGCTTTTTCTTTCAGAGAACTCGAGTAGATAAATATAAATATTCTTAAAATCTATTTGACTTGACTTATTTTAAGTTTGAGATTCAGTGAACAACATCATTGATTCAGTGATCATACTTTTTGTCTCTAAGAATAGAATACCCTGTTTCATGCTTTCATCTGATCCTCCTCTGTTCTTTTTACAGGTCTTCCCCGTAGCAATGCTACTGCCACAAAGTCCTTTAGTGTGCGACAACAGTTTGACTGCCCCCGTGACATATTTCGACAAACACCCCAAACTTTCGCTGCCAATCAGAATTCACAACCTTCTCAATCCCGGAAACAGAGCCAGCACATTATTCCAGAGGAGGCAAGCAACAGCAGAAATTCAAATCAAAAGTCATCATCGTCAAAGTCTTCATCTTCATCACAAGCCAAGAGAAATTCTCAGTTGTTTTCCCCATATGGCTCCATCTCCTCTGGTCAAAGCATGGCAGCTCTTGAACTGCAAAAGTCGCTACTCCACCAGCCATTAGCTCCAGGCAGCAGCAACAGCTCTGCCCTGTCGCCTCACACCAGCAATAACAAACTGGTAGATCCCATGAAACTTGCTGGCAGCAGCAATAGCCACAACGGGATGCTTCAGCTCCCCCAGCAGGTGAGCAAAGGCATGCTCTCATCTCAGCAAGCTGCAGCGCTTCAGTCCTCGGGAAAAGATGGCCGTCTGACGTCTGCGTTGTTTGGTGCTCAGTTCACGGCTATGCCTCGGGTGAGACTCTCTCTTTTGACTTTGAGTGATTTTCGTTTTGTCCTTTTTTGGTCTTGAATTAAATTAACAAGGTCTGCCTGTGGCACTTATCAAGGTGCTACTATTTTTAGAACAATTAATATAGGACAGTGCTTGTGTTTCACATATTTTTGGTCTTCTGATTTAAGTTTTTTAAACAAAGATTTTAAACTTTGACAAGTACATTTCATGTTACCCTCATAATAATAATACTCACCATGGGAAATTTGAATATAGATAGGTTTATTGTAAACTGGAGAAACCGAACATCTGTGATTCTGAATTATTAATTACCAAAAGACAGTGGAATACCGAAGGGATAGAGTAATTGTATGTGCTTAACTATTCTGACTGTAACCATATTGTTTTATGCTCTTTTATATCTTTGTATTGAAAGAACGGAGGAATAATTTTTTGAGCTATTTATTTAAAGAACGGAGGAATAATTTCTTTGGCTATTTATTTTAGTAGTCTATACCACTACTTGGTCTTTTTTTTTCCAGAGTGTATATTGAAAAAAACAAAAACCCATGGCATTTTATTTACTAAATCGGCATATCATCAACTTGTCATTGGATTCTCATCATTCACTCAACACTGGAATCTTTTCTTGTCTTTTATATACTCAGTTTATCTTTTGATTCTCATGTCTTGTTTACCCAGCTTATCTATAGGCTTTCATATATTTTTATTTTTTCACTCAGTTTATCACTGGGCTCTCATCATGTCTTTTTGTTTATGTAACTTATAAATGTATTTTCATCATGTCTTTTTACTTACTAAATATATAACTGGAATCCCATCTCTTTATATACTCACTTGGCGTATGTCTGGATTCACATCATTTCTTTTCATTTGTACTGGAGAAACCCGGTGGGTGGTTGGCGGGTGCTCTGGTGTGGTTTGCTCCTTCTTTCATATCAAACATCTATGGTCTTTATCTCCCCTCCTTCTTTTTTGTGTTTGTTACTCTCTTGTAACGCCTCTAATCTTCGGCACTTATACGACCTTATTCTGTTGCGAGTGCCGTAAAAGACTTACTAAAACTAAAAGGAGAAACCCGTGAGAGTAATGAATAATTTTATTTCTACGTATACCTGCATTTTTGTGGTACTGTACAACCAAGGAAAATTTCCTTCTGATACAATGAAGTATTGTCTTATCTTATCTTATGATATGTTATGTTATCTTCTCTTATTTCCTCTCCCCAGTCCACAAAGGCATCGGATCAGATACCAGGGTCTGTCTCAATGGAAGCCTCGTCGGCCGCAGCAGCGGCAGCAGCTGCCTCGATGGGCCTGAACCCTCACCTCCACCCGGCTTTCATGAGTCCCTACCTGCCTGCTGCCTCCCCTAACTCTGCCACGGCAGCGGCTGCCCTCAACCCACAGCTTCAGATGCTGGCGGGAGCGTATGGGGCATCGCCCGTGCAGCTGGCAGCGTATGAGGAGCTGCTGAGGCAGAATGGCTACGGTGCTTTCCTGCCGGGGGTTGGCCCACCGCCAGCCAAAGCAGCCAAGAAAAACTGATATTGGTGATAATATTTCTGAGAGTAGGGAAAGGAGACAGGCTCTTTACGTGGCAACATTGATTGTCTTTGTCATTTTTTTCCCCTCCAAAGTACACAGGACTATTGGGAAAAGGAACCCCATGAATAACAGATGTGACCAGTGTATGGGTGACGCCTTATCGAGTAACGGCGATGACAGCCTTGATGGCTGAATAAATTGTCATCGTAATGAGCAAAGACTTTCCTTCACAATGAGAAAGGACTTGAGCTAGTGAGCGGTCTGGCCACTTTTCAGAAAGAATCGAGTTGAGAGTGATGTTAGTGTGATGTCTATTGCATTGAAATTTTGAGGTATAAAGTTCTTCGAGTTACCTTTTAATCTCGGGGGCAGCCCTCGCAAGGTGGTGGCAGCAAATGTGTGAATAGAGGTCTGGGTTGCTTGCTGTGAATTGCTTCCTTTTGCAACAACAAAGTTTGTACAATGAATACTATTCAACCAATTGTGTATACTTTGAATTGTGATTTGGACTTTCAAAGAATGTTGAGATTTCTGTCCTGTGTTTTTAGCTGTTGTCTCTTCAAAGGCTTCCAGGGCTGCTCGTTTGGATACATTACCTGCAAATCAGTACGAGTCTTATCTGCAGTTCAGTCGAGCAGGATAAATAGTTGCGCCAGATGAACTTCTTTCTAATCATAAGTTCATAAAAATCATAGATACGGGGTGCATAAAGGTAGAATCTAATTGGAAAAAATAATAATAAATTTGGGGAAAGGAAAAAGTGTTTAAAGCAGCATGTGGACATGGGTGGGTAGTGCCTCTATTAATGAATTATTGATGGTCCGGTCTAGTCTGTATCTAGTGTCAAAGTTGCGAGCGCCGTAAAACCTCTACTACAACTAACTAAAAGATTTCTAGTCTTGTCATGCTTTTCTTTTTCCTGTTTTCGTGTCTTCACATTTTTTGTCTTATTTGTTCCTGGTAGGAAGTTTTTGGCCTAAAAGTACAGAGGTTTGTTAGGTAATTATTTAACAATTTTCAAGGAGCATCAAGTTTTTATATCACTGTCCTTAGACAAGCGCGATGGAGTTAAATTTTACGCTTGAACTAAAAAAAACTTATTTGATTTTATCATACAACAAGCTGGTTGCTAGCGAGTTGTTTGGCCTTGTTTAAAATGTTTTAGGAGCATTTCTAGTCAAAATTCAGACACCCCCCTCCGTCTTTGACTGAGCTTGTGAAATGAGTGATTTACTATATATTCATCAAAATTTTTTAAAAATTGATATTTTATGAGGGGCAACAATATGGTATTGTTGTGATTAAAATGAAATGAAAACTTGAGTTTGATGTGTAAGGAATATTTGGGAAGCTTTGAAGTACAGGGGAAAAAAGACCTATCGATGCATCTAACTTTGTTCATTTGCAAAAATTGTGTTAAAAATGTCAGTGATGATGTAGGTTTATTTTAAGAGTCAAAAAGATATCAAGATATCGTAATTATGGTCAAGGTTTGCCCTGATTTGTTGTTTTTTCTTTGCAATTGTTTAAAGCAAGTTTTATATCACTGGCAAAAAATTCATATGGAAGGTTAAGTGTAAAGGAAAAGTGCCGTAAATTTAGTAAAAGTAACGTCTTACTAAAACTATTTTAAAAACTCCTTTCTCTCTTTCAGCTTGTCTCTGTGGTTTAGTTCAAGGATGTCTTTAAAATCTTGTTCTTTATATTGTCACTGCTTGTTGCTGGGAAATTGTGAGCTCCAAGCCTGCAAGCATCTTTTGATAGTTTAAACAGCAAACATAGTTCATGATAATGAAAGAGTCATGTTCACAGAACCCATGTATCAGGATGCTGCTATATACAGTATACTTATATATATATATATATCTTTTGTATTTGAAGCCTGGTCTTTGCAATACTAAATAGAAGAGGAACAATGTACATGTAAAATAAAAGTGTAATTTGATGACTTCACACTAACACAAAGGCAGCATAGTAGTCAGCAATCCTTTCTTTTTCTATAATTCCGTATAATTTTTCTGCGTAATCAATGTTTGTACAATTTAAATACACATTCAGAAAGTAAATAATTTACACAAAACAGTCCAGAAAAAGGGATGTGTACTAAAAAGTTGAGTTCAGAAGCTGGCAATGAATGGCAAATGTGCACACTTTTCTACTTTGCAGCTGTGGACTTGTGTAACTAAATGATGTTGAAATGAATCTTGTTTGTCTCTTGTGCTTAAACTGGGTGTTGTGCATGAAGTTTTTACTTTCTACATTAATCTTTTGTTGTATCGTTTGTACTCTGTGAAAATAAGATTGTGCTTCTGTATGCACATGTGTACATATTTACATCTATACATATAGTTTATGTATGTATGTATGTCAATATGAGCATGGAGATAAGTGAGGCAGGATTTTTTTAAAAAGTTTTATTTTTGTTTTTTAAAGTTTTCTTGGTTTATTTGTCTTTATTATTTATATTATATGTATTCTCTTTTCTTTCTTTGGCTTACTTTTAATTGTTCTTTTTTTTTTTTCTTAAAAAAATATTTTTGATGGGTGGGAGATTATTTGTCTTACAGCATGGTGGAATCGGCAGCTTGTCAAATTTTGGGTATTTGGAGTTATTGCTATCAAATTAAAGCTTTGCTTCTTAATTGTTTTTGAGCTTGGTGGAAATGTATTGATCCTCCTTTTATAGAGGTCGAGACATGTGCGATTTAAGAGGGCTACGGTTACCTGCTATTTTTACAGGCGAAATTAGCAACGAAAGGACTGCCAATGTTTGGTGACTTTTAAAGGTGAATACGCGTACTGTAACGACATAATTATATATTTCTGGCTTTAAACAACCCTTTTCTGTAAAATTCACCCTAAAATTGTTCTTTAAAGGATGGTGAAGGTTTCTGTGCACAAAAAAACAAATACTTCTATAAAAATCGCCTAGCAGTTGAAGAAAAATGCTGATTTCTCTGCTCCTAAGAATTTACCGAACGCCTGATTCCACAGCGATAACCCACATTTTTTTTCAATTTGCCTGTTGTTCTAGGGGAAGTTAAGGTGGCATAGAAATGGCATAAGTTTCACTTGCTATGTGCCGGCTGTACAATTGATATATGCAGACTAAAAAGTACAGAAAAAGTCAAAAGTTTTGTCTTTTCTCATCAGATTTTCTCCTAAGATGACCAAAAATAATGGCTAGGAAAATGTCTTCTTACTCGGAGCTCAAGGCACCTTCTACCTTCTAGGCACATTTTATTGGAGATATCCATTGCATATACTTTAAATCAGGCGTTATGATCGTGGTTACAATCCAAGAGTAATTGTTAACTATGTTAACTATTATCCATGGCTATTGCTCAATCTGTTCTGGTCAAAGCATAGTGCTTGTTGAACAGTTGAATGAAATCTCTGCTTATGTATCCAGTACCACAAGGTCAAGCCTTCTCATTCCAAAGGGGGGAGCTTTTCTTGAAAGTGTAGTCGACCTGTGCATCAGAATCACTCAAGATCAGAGAAAAGTGATGGCTATTAGGTGTGGCTTTGAACTGTGTCTTGAGTTATGGTCACCCACTAGACACGGCAAAGTCAAAAGATGGTTTATAATCTGAAATTTTCACATTTTGTCTTTCCGTTTCATTTATATCTTTCATAAAAACTTCTCTTCATTAATTGAACGCAAACACTCGTTCTCTGGATGGATTAGCGGAAAACTTTTGTAGCAAGTTACTGATGTGAGCAAGTTTTTTTGGCCAACTTGTTGCAAACAATGATTGACTGGCCATGTTGGACAGATTAAAACTCTATTGTATTGTTTACTGAAGAGTTCTGGTAAATTGTGGCTGTCTACTGAGCATTAGGTAAGGTTAGGATTAGGACAAGTTGAATTGACTGTTTTGAAGCTCACATTTCTGTAAAGTTACTTTCTTTTCTATTGTGATGGTCAGTTTTCTCTCCTGTGTCGTGTGGGTTAAATGATGTGTCTATGATTGTGAAATAGGTTCAGCTTGTTCTGTCTTCAAGGGTAGTGATTTGTCAAACATTCAGCTGTCTGATGAGCAAGATAGAAATTAGACGGAAAAAGCTGATGGTGTTGATCTGAAATTTTCTCAGTTTATTGGCATTGGGTGTTGGGCATTTTATTAGAAGGATGATGATGCCATTAATAGATCCTTTAAAATTGACAATTGTACATGATTATTGTGTTTGAATGCATATTTTTGTATGAATTAATTTGGAGAAAAAAATGATGAAATGGTTGAATCAGCCAAGGGAACAGTCTTGTTGTAACTGAATTTCTGCTCCTTGGATTACATACGTCCTTTTTCTATAATTCAGTGACTTATTTTGTACATAATGACATATTTTCTTCCTGCTTGGAACGGACTTTTTCACATGTATTCATTTTCATAGACAATTACTTCATAATGTGAACTTTAAAAGCTTTTTTTCTCTTGAATATGAACAGTAATGTAAGGTTGTGCAAGCTGAGAGAAGGGCATAGTTGTATCAGGTTTTCATTTATAGTTGAAGTTATGATGTCCTAAAGAGGTAATGAATTGAAAGCCAATAATTGGTAAATATTAATAGATATTATAATTGTTTTTCTTTTTTTTTTTTCTTTTTTTTTTCCAAGACACATTGAACGGAATCAAGTTAAATTTTACAAACAGCATTGAAGAGCAGGAAAGCAAGCAATATGCCTTATGGGCAATGGACATCGTTTAGCTGATCTTTTACAGTTATTTTGAGTCCCCTCTTAGTCTTAATGGTAATGTTGTCAACGTCAGCCAAAGGTGGATTGTTGTGCTCTCTTTTTCCCCTCACAAGTGTTTTGCAAACAAAAAAGGCTGCAGTGGGGGTCTGGGAAAGGGACGATGATGAGTAGTGGCCCCACAGAGAGAGGAGACCCCAGATGTTTATAATGGGTCAAGTATGCTTGTTTGATGAGTCAGTGTAGGTCTGTATCAGTGCAAGTCTGGATCAGTGTAGGTCTGTTTGCTGAGTCTGTAAAGAGAAGCCAGGGCTAATTGTGGCACCGTCAACCAGCGCAGTGGTGTTGCTGTTTTCGCCAATATGTTTGGGCAAAAAAATAAAATGTCAGCCTAATTATTCACTCATTTAAAATGTCGTAAATGAGAAGGATTTAAAAAGAAAGAAAAGTTAAAGTAGTGAAGTTCACGTTGTTGAAAATGGTAGGCCTATTTGTCATATCCAATGGCCTTGGAGGGCATAAAAAGGAAGAACGTTATTTTATTTTGTATTTTCTGTTTTGGCCAATCCATATGTACATTCGATAATATGCTATGAAGGAGTTGAACAGTGTTGATTTTTTTGGTTGAACCGCTGTGCTTGAAATTCATGTTCTGGTATTTTCGATTTGGTATGCTACAGCTTCTTGTCTCTCTTGTGAAACCAGGTTACAACTGCACTGTGTTGGAAGACTAACTACATAGCATTATTTCACATTGATCTGTTTCAGAACATGGCTTTTTATGGCAGTTGTTTTTAATCATCTTTTCTCCTCTGCTCCAGCTGTGAGTAGGGTATCGTTATTGAGACCTCTTTCATTTGGAACAGGCAGTGTAAAAGAAAGTTGTTTAAAATTCATAATTAAAAAGTTGATGTAAAAATGGCATCTCAGGAATATTCTGTACCTATTTCATTCAACAGAATTTATGAATAAACTATTCAATATCACATGTAATCAGAGTAATCTTATGGATCGATGATTTTTACAAGAGTTTGTGTTTTTTGGTTTGATTCTGTAAAGGCTCAAAAAGCTTTCTTTTTACTTCCTCAGAATTGCAACGTATTGTCTTTATTTAGGAGGGGCAGTGGAATGTGGGAAAAAAGTTAATGGACCATACAAATTCCAGGAACTGAGAAATTGTTCTCCAATTTTTTTTAAGTACGTGTGAAAACCACACTCAAACTTGAATCAATGCACTGATGACTTGAACCACAAACCATATGTCCCTGCTATGAAGGTGAATGAAGAAAGTAATCATGATGCGAATTGATTTAGTTAAAGTTCTTCATATGTGGAATGAGTCCGTGAGACTTAATCAAGGAACACTGATTACAGTTTTTTTACACTAGAGGAAGCTAGCATGAGCAAGCAATGTTTGTTTTGTTTTAGTAAGAGTTTTACGGCACTTGCAACACAATTTGATCATGTAAATGCCAAAGATTGGAGGCGTTATTAGAGAGTAACATCATATATACATTCAATAAAGATGGAGGAGGGATGAGGATGATAGATGTTGGATAAGAAAGAAAGAGCAAACCACTCCAGAGCACCCACCAACCCCCCACTGATCAAGCAAGTGCCAGTGATGTTCCCCAGTGTTTTATTGACACACATAAAGAATGCATCATGCTGAGACTGAGAGGAATATTACTTACTCTTGCTTGTTCTCCTTTGATTTTTATTGCATCTGGAAAAAACAAAGGCAGTTTTCGGGACACCGGAATAGACATAATAATAATAAATTGCATTTAATAGCGCATCTCTACAAAGAAGTGCCCAATGCGCTGTACAGTAATACAAAGAATGTCATATGAAGCGCACAGCTCCTATAGTAATCCTCTTTCTTTCTCTCTCTCTCACTAGTCTCACACTGTGTGTCTCTCTCTCTCCAGACATAAAGGTCTTGATGACCACTTGGCTCTCACTGGCAAAATCGAAGGCAAATAAGGCAGGGGTAGGCCTAGTACTTAGAGTTACTAAGTTAGAGAACCTAAAAGTAAAAGATGGGTAACGGGGAAAGATTCGGGTAACGTAGCTTTTTAAGAGCATAGGAATGAATGGAGAACCATGATCGTCCTTGTCTGCCACAGATCTGCTGGTATTTTATGATCATGATGATAGTCAGGGGTTGTTTTTTTTTGTGGTAAGTGTTTTACTACGCTCACAACTGCATAAGGTCATATGAGCGCATGGGACACATTAAACATTTTCAGTAGGAAGGAAATTTTGAATTTTGCCCGTGTAGTGGCCAAAGCCTACCCATATCAATTTTGGACCACCAAGGGATCTTTGACGTGCGCAACTTGCACACGGGACCTCCGAGAATGTTCGCCCTTGTCCGAAAAGGCTAGGTGTAGATCTTTCCTACCAGAAGATCGGGGATGTGGCTGAGAGACCGCAGTAAGGAGCCAGTGAGTAGCAGTAGAAAGGCTGCAGAAAGAGTTAGGAGCCCAGAGGAGGTGAGAGGGTGGGGGTAGAAAGTGGAGGCGAAAGCAGACAACAGAACATTGCTAGAGAGCATGAAAGGAGACAAAATTAGAGAAGAAAAATTTTCATTGCTATCCGGATTCGAACCAGGGACATATTGAATGAGAGACGAATACCTCACTAGGCCACAAGAGCCCCCAGTCAGGGTCTGAGTCATGGTCACTTACTGCATGTGGATGAAAGTGAATTTCTCGTATGGTACCTGTTAACCACCAACTACAGCAAAACATTCCCTTTCGACTTCATAAAAGCTTTTAAAAAAACAAATGCTGCCACGACTCCACCCCTGGTATAGCGGGGGCATTCGCTTAACAAAACAACTAAAGATAAAAACAAAAATAATCCTAATCAGGGAAGCCACTGTAAAACAGACATCACAATCACACTGTTTGGCGTGTGACTGCATGACGTCTACAGAGTTTCCCCAAATTTCTTTCTCATAAAAATAAAGATGTTTTTTACACCCCCATGGAAACAATTTAAATCATTTAGTGGGCAGGCTTCCGACCCTGCTTGTTAGGGTCAACCCATGCTGAGAGGATTACAACATCCAAAAAGAAAGACAGAGAAACTTGATAAAAATTCTCCCCACTGAGGAATCAAACCTGGGTCTCCTGCCTAACTTTTACACCACAGATGCCTGTTTACTGAGATCAGCAGCAGTGTGTTACTTCTATTGCTGGCTGTCACAAAAGATGTGGCACTGTGCTCAGTTCATTGGACCCTCACACTCATTGAGTATTGAGTAAGCATTGCCCAGCTGCTTCTCTGCATCGGTTGAAACATTCACCTGAGGACTCGTTGGCGGAAAACTTTTGTAGCATGAGACTGATATGAGCAGGCTTGGGGGCCAACTTGTCATGAGTGATCGTGGCCGTGTTGGACAGGTTAAAAATAGAAAACCACAAGGGTGTCAGCTAACTATGGCCATGAGTACACGTGACCGCCAAGACAAGTTGTACATTCAGTACATGTGTATCGTTTTATTCTTGCGGATACCTGACTTCATACGCAAGGCAAGACAGAATGTGGTGGAACAAAATAAATGTTCGTTATTTGCTTTTAAAGTAAAAGCACTTTATTTCACATAGAAGTTCTCAACATTAAAAAGATCATAAAACTCATTCTAAAGAGTTGTATCAAAAAGTAAGCACCAACAATACACAAACTTGTTATCACAATGTAAATCCTATAAATAGAAATCCTGCTAAGAATAGATTAAACCTTCAAACACAAGCAAAAAACAAACTGATGGACAAAGAGATAGCATTTGAAATTACATTTTAACGAGTTCAGCATTGTTAAACTTTGAAATATTGTAGTCCAATGCTCGATTAAGTCAGGGTGCATGTGAACGATAGCAAACACTTGACTGCTTGCACCCGTTACCTACAGTGAAGACTGCTTTGGTAGGTAGTGAACGTTTTTATGAATTTCTAGAAAATATCTGGTACAGGAATGTCTTTTTAACCAGAGTAAACCAAAACAAATGGGCACAAATAACATGAACATGGAAAACTCGAAATCATGGACAGCTTGTATAATTTGCCCTTCCTCGACAGGTGAATCTTTAATTTTTCGTTATCGGTTAACTGAAATATGGATGTGTTGAACACATTTGTCAATCCCTGACAAGTTTGAGTTATCCGTGCCCTAAAGTGATCCAATATTCATTCCTCACAAAGGTACCGACAAAAATACAAAACTACATATCATAATAACACAAGGACACAATACATTTTTCTCTACCCGTATCTATAAAAGCTGTGCTGTGGTAAATCAAATGACAGATCAAGACTACCCCCCCCCACTCCATATGGCACACATTCACACACAAACAAGGTATCAAGCTGGATACGAACCAGACCAGGCCAGGGGCTTCTTTATTGTCAAAGATTGTACATAACAAGGTACAAGTGTTCACTTGGCTAAAAAAGTGTCCATTGGTTCAATTGCCGCTGCAGTCTTTGTTTTGAAGCTCTTTCATTTCTCCAGAAGAAGAATAGGAATAGCACCCCCTTGCGCATTAGCTGTTCCGGTTCACTCAGTGCAGAGTTTTGGGTTTATTTTATTTTAATGACCTCTCGCCTCTCGTTCTAAAGCCAAATTAAACTAAGAAAACAGTCGCCCCTTCCACCTGAAGAGGATTTTTGTCAGGGTAACCATTTAAAAAGGTGTTCTTCTGAAATTTGAAATATAATTTAAACAAAAACTTGTTAGTTTCACTTAGATTTTTTTCCACACAAGTAGAGCAACTCTGTTCGCAAAGCGGGCGCTTTTTCGAAGAGGGTGCCACCAGATTTTTAGGACACTTTTTTAATTGGTTCAAAGAGAGGAGTGAACCATCTTGTTGTACAGAATCTTTGGTATTGTCCTTGCCTTTTATGCAAAAATGCCAAGCTCAAAGTCTGGCAAGAACCGTAAGGGAAAAACCAAGGGATTTAGTCAAGGTACTAGTAACACATGTATGGTTGCATAATACATGTACATGTATGTAAATACAGTCAATTAGTCAATGCCATATTATAGAATCTACATAAAGTCTAACACTAAAAGTATATATTGAGCTAAAATTCAAAGGCCTTGAGGTAAGTAAATATAGATATATAAATTATGTAGATGAACACTTCTTCCCTTGAAAATGTAAAGGGATGTTCCTTTTCCTGCAGCTGAGTGAGAACTTCACAAGTAGAACATAATATTGCAAATAAAGCAAAGGTACAAGAACAGTGATCTCCAGCAAATACGAATAGTAATAGTTCTCAGCAGTAGTTTTCTCTTTGTTTATTCTACATTATATCTATTCACAAAATTATCATCATCATGAAGTATTGGCGAGTAGGCTTCTTTATTCATTTCTCTGCTTGAATGCCCTAAAAAATCCTATATTATCCTGATGTCTTTCCGTCACCCATCTGTTCAGATTTTCCAAATAAGTTTCTTTGGGCTTACCCTGCCTCATTTGCCTTCTATTTTTCAAGTGAGAGCAAGATGTTTAAGTTTACAGTCTTTATATCAAGTCAAGTGTCCAAAAAACTGCTTTTGTCACTTCCTAATTATTCTTTAATAATTTTTTTTTCCAGTGAAATTCTCAAAAGTTTTCTAAGAAACTACATTTCTGTTGTGTCTATTCTATTTTCACTATTTTTATAACTGTTAAGTATTCACAGACTTAATATAGAAAGGGTGACCACACATAGCCTTTTCAAAGCCTTATTTTAGTAGACTATGTTTCTGTTTTTCAGGATTGGACTCACTTTATTGAAGCTGTCTTTAGCTACTGTGATTTTTCATTTATTTGCGCAGAACATTTGACATCAGATGTAATGATCCAAGATATTTAAACTGTTGAACTTGTTTGACCCTAGCACCTTTACTTTGCTTATGAGATTAAAATCCCCGCTAAACCAAAGTGAATTCGGTGGTCCTGCAGATTTTGGTTTAAGCAGACTCCACTGTACTAGCACTGAGAATGAACAAGTGTTCCGATTCAACATGTGGGCTCTGCCTGTTTTGCACGATGTGTGTAAGAAACCTCACTTTGTTTTATTGGTTATAATAATGCCCGTATCTCCATAAAATAGTATATATGACCCAATAGTTAGAAACGAAGAGCTTTCAAGGAATGTCCCTCTCTCAATTCAAAACGTGGTAGTAGTTGAGGAATAAACAAGACAAAACATGGGTTTTAGCTACTTTATGAGATACATATACAGCGCACTGTGTGGTGAATTATCGAGACATATGAAACACATCTACAGAAGGTGTTAAGTACAAAAATTGATAACACTGTAGATTTGTCCTTGTATCATGTCTTACAAGATTCAAGTCTTTTAGAGATCTAAAAGTAAAACAATTATGGACTGGTTTCTTGACATCATGTGACCCAAGCACTAAGGTTACTTTGCTGAGATGACCTCGGTGACCTAGAGGAGTCATCACTCTTTTCTGACATCCATTGCTTGAAAATGGCTTCCATCTTTTGCCTGGAGCTAGGGTTCCCGTTATTCACAGTTGGCAAAATTTTCAGTGGTCGGGTGAACTGGACAAATCTCTTCAGCTCCAAAAAACTACTGTGTTCACTGTAAGGGACTCCTAGTTGGAGAGGAAAATAATCAATTTCGCATACAGAATGAATTTATTACAATAATACTGGACAAGATACAGGGTGTTTAAAAATTTCATTCTAGCTCTTGCCTTTGAAGTCAATAGTCACTTTATTACACATACATAGTTACAGCATTGTTTTAAAAAGCAGATGGAACAAAACACATTTCTGTAGCTTTTCTTCATAAAATATTCAAAGGATTTTAAACTTATCTATTTACATTTCTCTATCTTCGACAGTCATAAGAGTACAGCACTCTTCGCCTTAGAACCCAGCGTCTTGGGAGTAAGGAACATGCTGGATCTTAAATTAATAGAATCTTAGCCAAATCATCAAGGGAAGGAATCCATGGTGACTCATGGTTAGGCTGACAATAGGTAAAATGGTTCCCCTTACTTTGAAATGAACTGTTCTGACTGACCTCTCTGTATTCAGAGGTCTTTTCAGAGGACAGTATTTTATTGATGTGGGATTATAACCTATGAGAGCTACGAGTGGTTAACCTTTTGGACCAATCACAATGGTCTCTTCTTTCTCTTCTTAGTTTAATGAAGCATGTCATTTTCACTTATCCAATAGCCAGTCTCAAGATCTAGGACAGTCCCATTGCTCATTGCCCTTCATGTGTTCAATGTGTATAGTTTTCCATCTCTGACCAAGATCCCCACTCAAGTCATTACACACCATTTTTTTGTGACAACACCAATGAAAATTTGAAGAACGAAAGGTAGGCTCACAGCCAACACATGACCATATTTAGGCAAAGACGATCAAACAGTTCCCCTTGTATGGTGACAGTCTGTCTTTAAAATCTAGGTGCAGAGCTGAAAGACAAGTGCTGTAGTCAGGGAAACAGAAGCACCGACAAGTTCACAATTTCATGTGATCCAAACTGATGTGTGGCTTTGTAGGCACCACCCACCCAGCACATGATGTAAATTCAGGAAGAGGGTTCTGGTTTTTTAAAGTTTTAGTAGAGATTTTACGGCGCTCGCAACTTCATAAGGTCATCACAGCTGTTCAGCTTCACTCTCCGAGCGGCGCACTTAGTTGTAGCCCGTCTGACCCTTCTGACCCCTGTGACCCCTCGCGGAAGGTAATAAATCTCGACGCGTTACGCCACTTCCACCAGCCTATCCCTAGATCTGACCGCTCCGCGCGGAAAGGGTACAATTTCAAGAAATTAACTTGAATTTACGGCATAGTACTCCCTTTCTCCATCCCGTAAACCTAGGAGTGTTTATACCAAATAAAAGCTCAGCATCTCCTTTATAACCAGTAGTTTGAAACCAGTTTCTATCTCGTTTTATACTCCCTTGGGATACCTATATACTACCACTGTTGTACATCTCTGTGTTATTGAAGTTTTTGGATTTAAACGAAAATTTTAATAATTGGAACCGACAATTTTTGTTTTAACCTTCACATTTCTTTTTATAAATCTATTCTCTCCATTGCTGTGAAAAATCTCAGGGTAGGAGCTAAATTTCCATGAACTAGCGCACTTTATGTGACTAGTCTAGTGCAACGCTCGGTGCAAAGAAAAACTCTATGAAACGGGAACTTGCCGTCTGACTTTCTTGTGTGTTTATAATTATAGAGCCTTTTAACATCAAAGATGGAACACTCTTATAACATCCACTTTGAGAATTTAAACAAGTTGTGTCGTGCTTGTGGTGGAAGAAGTTTAAAAACTAAAGTTTCTAAGCAGCGTCGATTTTTGTGTAAAAACTTTAAGTCTGACTTATTGCAATATTATAGACTGAACATTGACAACGACACAGCGACAAGCATTCCAACACTCTGTGCAGGAAATGTGGATCGCGAATATACACACTACGGAAGCAAATTACAAATGAAAGCCGCACAGAAATGTGTAGAAAACAGTGGCTATGTTTGGTCCGCTTACGACGCAAGCATAAACATTAACCAGTGCTCTGTGTGTACTCGCTGTGTTAAACTTAGCAAAGGGTGCATTAAAGAGCGCATTCCTTTGCTTACGGAAGGACACGCATTGCGTTCTCCGTCCCCCGCTCGTATGGGAGTAGAGTCTGCAAGCATAACGGATACCCCCACCCCAGATGTTTCCTCTGTAAGTACAGGCGATGGTGCTCAGCCCTTTACCACTCAATCCATTTACACATACAGACGAAGGCTCATTTTACATTTCACCAGAAACTCATATTTTGACATCCACACCTAAAACGAAGACGAAACAGTTCACAGACAGTAGGCTACCAGCTCCCCATTAGTCAAACATGAAACGACATTAGAGTCAACACTTTTGAAATCGGACACAGAGCTACTCACGCCGTTAGAAGAAAAAGTTGCTACACATCTGATCAGAAGAAAGCTTAACACATCTCTGACGAAAGGCCAGTTGAGGTTCAAAACAAAAGGACAGCCATAAGTGTTTCAAAGGATAGTCACACACAGAATATCATCTGACTTAGCAAGCTCCCCGACAAGAAAACGAAGAACAAATATAATGAGTCAGGCAGTCGGTTGCTGGTAGAAGTAAAAGTGTTTCCCCACTCACTGACAAGACTGTGTGCATTAATCAACAATAGCAACAAGACATTTTGGTCCTGCCTCATAAACGTAAGTGTGTTTGAAAGTTCAAAGTCTGAATGTGAGCTGAAAATTAAGACTGTAACAATCTGTCGGTCCGTTTATTTTTAATTATTAAAAAAAAAAACAAGTTTGTTTGTGATAACCAATCTATGACGTACGCCACATTCCCCCTCTTTTAAACAACATTTTCTTTTACTTCTCCGTGATAAAAATTATACTGTTGTAAACTACACCTTCGTCTTCATGTGATCATTTGGTTGTTGTTTCATTGACTTTCTCGGCTTTCATAAGAACTGGTGTTGTTTTATGTGTACAAAACACAACATTGCGGGGGAGCCGCTGACCGCGAGGCCGAGCGCCCGCAGGTAGCGTGACCTGAGCGTGACCTCGTCTCGGAGGTCAGGTCGGCCGGCAACTAAGTGATGCTGAGTGGAACAGCCGTGTCATATGAGCACAAGAAGATTAGAGGTGTTACAAGAGAGTAACAAACATGAAAAAAAAGAAGGGGAGATAAGGACTATAGATGTTTGATAGGAAAGAAGAAGCAAACCACCAGAGAACCCGCCAACCACCCACTGCGGTGGGTTCAAATGTAATGCGATGCATTGGGCAGTACAATGATAACAAAATTTTTGCTGCTTGGTTAATCAGCTGTAAAATGCAAAGGTTGCTATTCTGTAAATTCTGATCTGAAATGCAGGATAAAACCCGAACAGAGTCCTCCAAAGTGGGTTCTTAGGGGTTACTTTTGTGAAGTAAAAATTAAGTTTTCTTAAAACAGTGGGATCTTAAGCTAGTGAAAATCATAAACAGTGGGATCTCAGGTGAAGACTACTGCAAATTCACTTACTGAGACATACACATGATAACTCACCGTACAACGTTACACCATTGGAACTCCACTTTGGCCTGAGGTCTTTGAGTGAGATAGTTTTGTCAGTGTGTGTCCATCCCGTTGGTTGAAATGCAAGTATAGACTTGAACTTGTGGTGCCGAGCCAGGTGATCAAATAAACCCTGAAGGTGATCAAGGCAGACAAGTCAAGTTTGGCTGAGTAACAGCAAAAAGCAAAGTATCAATATCATGATAATGGTCACATTTCACCAGTAACAGAACAGGAGAACAGTAACATATTTGATACACTAGATACACATACACACACACACAGATATATACATGGTCAAAATGGAGTCATTGATATGGGTAGTGAGCTTTTATGCCGCTCTTTTACCTCTGTAAATATCAAGGCAGTAGCTTAATTTGGTATCTAGATAATAACGTTTCTTTTCTGACTATGTTACACTACAGAGATTTCAAAATCTTCAAAATTTCAAATTCATTTTTCTCAAAATTGTGAAAAGTGGATATAGTTCACATCCATCTGCAACACATAAATGGAACACAACAGCAAGGAATTCTCTGCATTTATCACCTCTGAGAGGTGTCGAGGGTACACAGAATTAGACTTGCAGCATTTGTTTTGCTCTAACCTTGTAAATGACTTTCTTGAAAATTTTTCAGCACACAACCCCCCAACATCTTATGATGTAAAAGAAGAGAGAAAAAACCAACAACTCAAAAGTCAGCTCACAGAGCTTTTATACTATCTATAGTGCATGCTGGCTCTTAATTTTTACGAAGGAACTATAGACTGATCTCAACAATGGTTAGGGAACGAAAAAAACAAACAAAGGTGACCTGTTTCTTCCAGTCACACACAACACCATTCACATTTAAGCCTCACCTTCTGGTTTAGTTTCCCCATCGGCAGAACATGCACTTGTCCTTGAGCCCAGTCTAATGTGACCCTTGACTTCAGCTCAGGATCTTCTAGACAATCCAGAACCTTCTTCTTGTCACTCATGACGCAGATCTTTGAATCTAGCTCCTTGGCAATAGCTGATGACATGAAGAGAACATAAAGACCTTTCTCAGGCACAAAATGATCATCTTTCTTTAGAAGACATGCCAACCTCTCCATGACCAAAAATTGGAGTTTTCCACATAATCCTCCCTAAATATTGGAGTTAGGGGGAAAAAAATCTGAGTTTCCAGAACCCCAATAGAGTCAGATTACGTTATATGAACTGATGGTGGTGAATAAACACAAATTGCAAGTACATGTGTATTTTCATTGCATTTACAATAAGTTGTGTACAATCCATGGAAATGGATTTCAAGAAAAAAATGCTACTTGTACTTGATGGAACCTGCTACGGTTCAGTGTTGTGCCTGCAAAGTTATCTTGAGGCATCTGTTCCACTTTGCACTATGGAAACCAGGAAAAGACCTGACTATGTTGTGGGGCTCCTTAGCATCAAAGGAACATAACTTTCCTTTATCTTAAATCTTGTTTATTGTCCAAATAAGAAAACCCTCCTACCCAGGAAAAAAACAAAGAAAACTGGACAACAAATGAATAACAATAAGAACAGATTGCATTTATACAGCACCCTATCCTATACAAGTATAAATTCTGAACGCATTATATCGATGACATGATTACCGATAATAAGCCTCACACACACAATAAAAAACATAGAAAGAGAGCCATTTCAATGACATAAAATAGAACTTTCTCATCCAAGCATTAATTATAAAATAAATACACATAAGGATAGCAGTAAAAACAAGGCACATCAGCACCTGCTAACACACTCAAACTGAGACTTAAACAAATGAGTCTTAAGCAACCGCTTCAACAGATAAAAATCACCTGTGAAAATTCTCTCCTTTCCAATAGTGTAAGCTCCACAGACAATTAATGTTTGAGGGTTGGCCTTCATATGTTTTGCTACCAGTGAGACCACAAAATCTATCACATCTACCTGAGGTGGGAAGGCGTATGACGGGTTGCAGTACCTGGAGAAAGATAATATAAGCATTGTTCACTGAATATGGAAGACCACAAAACAATGATGGACTGGACGTTATCTCAGCAAGCTAGGCAGCTGTAAAATATTGAAATTGTTGGATTAGAATCCACAGGGTAATAGATCAAGAGAAAGGCCATGTGGAATCTGAGGAAGAGTCACAGAAAGATGTACAGAAAAGTGGTAAGAATAAATGGAATATAAATATCATGTGGTTAGCCCTGGATAGGGAATGGTGGAAAGTGTTTGTTTGTGGCCTATACCTTGATGCCATGTGAGAAAGGCAGGCAGTGATGATGATGATGATGAAGATGATTATTTTTTTTTGGTTTCCTTAATGGGCCTGATGGACTCCACGAAGAAATCTTCGAGCAAGAGCGAGGCTCTTTTTTGGCTCCATTGTCATTATACTTAGAGGCACCTCCACTCGTCCAAATAATGATGATGATGATGATGCTATGTGAAACCTGTGTTCACAAATTCCCCACTATGACTCACCATCATATTATGCCAGGGAAAGAAATTTAAGTACATGTACCTGAGTGGACAAAATCCCGAGCCACTGTGTCCCTGAGTGCAGGCAAAGACAGACTTTGACAAAGTTGAAAGGGGATAAATGGATCTCTCATGAAATACAACTGAAAAATTAAGTGAGAAAGGCGAACAGGTTTGTTATTAGTTTTAGTAAGAGTTTTACGGCACTTGCAACACAATAAGGTCATATAAGTGCCGAAGATTAGAGGTGTTACAAGAGGGTTGTTGTTGTTGTTGTTTTCAAATCCCTTTAGCTGCAGGCATTTTGCTCTTGGCAGCGCAATGCCTCCCTCAAGTAACCACATGTCCTTGTCATCTGGTCAACGCCAGAGTAGAGCAGGCTTTGTAAGTCTGTAGGTGTGTGTAGGAGCTTGCGTCGAAGAACTGCCAGGTTTGGGCAGTGAAGGAGAAGATGTTCAACGGTCTCCTCATGGTAGTCACAGTGTCTGCAATGGGGTTCCCACATGGGGTTGATTCTGTTTCTGTGCTTGTTGGTGTGTAAGTGTTCTGTGCGGGCTCTGAAGATCAATGTCTGATCGGCTCTACATAAAAGATTCGAAGGGTCTTTGGGGTTGGGTTTGTCCATGTACCCGAAGAGAGATCTTCCTGTTTCTGCGTTGGCCCATCTGTTTAGCCACTGTTACAAGGGGGTAACAAACACAAAAAAAGAAGACATTAGGATGATAGATGTTTGACAGGAAAGAAGGAGCAAACCACACCAGAGCACCCACCAACCACCCACGAATGGACTTGTACTGAGAGTGACGGTCTAAATATGAAATCAATCAGTAACAAAAATATTGAGCATTTACCATACTAACTAAATAATATATGCAGCAGTACATCTGCAAGTGAAGTGTAAGTGTCAACATATCCAACAGCGCATAGTTCTTCAAAAACCTTTAATCCCTGTCTCAGAGAAAGTCAGTATTGCATTACGTACGTGGTATCCAGGTACAGTTCAGAGATCACAGCATTTTTCAACACCTGGTACTGCTCCATTTCTGGGTTTGCCCTAAAGTCTCCAGTGTGTAGAATTTTCGTGCCATTTTTCAATTCAAACAGTATTATCACAGCACCAGGGCAGCTGTAAAAAAAAAAAACCAACACAGAAAGTATTGTAGGTGACATGCCATTTACAATAATACATGTACCGTCTGACGCCTTTATAAAAGGATACTCAACTTTACTAGCACTAAAATTTTCTTTTCTCCAAGTATTGTTATAAAATTCTTATTTCAATTACTTCCTTTAAGAATAAGAAACAGTGCATCCTTTTAAGATAAAATTTCTAAGTACTACAAACAGTGGATGGAAATGTAACACAAAAACAAATACTGATACCTAAATCATGTGTTTTTGTCAGAGCAAAAACTCTTTTGCCTCTTGAATGAAAAGACTCACTGATTGGCTTCCATCAGCGTCAAGGTAACACCTGCAACTTGGCATGGTTGCCACATGGGAAGACGGTTAATCCACTTTGAGTCCACACCTAGACGACTCTCAACCAAATTAGCTGTTATCTGCAAATTTAAAAAAAAAATTTAAGTGAGAAAAATCAAACTCCTGGTGATTTTAGTCTGTTTATCTCTAGACCATCATGATAATTAAGAACAACATCAGAAATTGAATTAATACTTTTTCTTTCTCACAGGTACATAGTAAATACCAGGGAATATCCCAAAAGAGATGCAGTAACTCAAGGAGTTCTCTGTCCTCAGTGCCAAGTTTAGAGTGCAGATTTGAACTTTCAAAGAAGAATTGGCAAAGGACGAAATTTCAGATGGTTCATAAATCACAGGGCAGCAGCTCAAGCATTGCACCTTAGGGTTTTGGCAAAAATCACTTGTTTATATAGTACAGGGCACTGGGAGGGATGCATGCCCTGTAAAAACCTCTGAGTTGTGCGATTGAAATTCCAGGTACTGTTAATGATATATTGATGAAAAAAAAAAAGTTTTTTTCTTTTCTCCTGTAAAATTGAAAAACCGGAGTTTCCATAAAAAAAACTCACGAAATGATCCAACAGAATACTTGAAACAAACAATGTTTGATTTACAATGCCATCTGGTACTCATTTGCACCTCTAAGCACATTCAATGTGTATACAGTAGTCTCCGCCTAAGATCCCGGTGCTCGGGAGCAAGGAAAAGCGGGATCTTAGGCGAACCGGGATCTTAAACGACGAGCCCAGGGAAGAATCTATGGTGACCCATGTTAAGGCTTACAATCGGTAAAATGGTCTCCCTCCACTCAAAAATGAACTGACGTGACCGCTTGGTGGGTTTATGACGTATGGCGAGCAAAGAGTGGTTAACCTTGATGACCTATCACAGGGCATAGTGGGATGAGGCGTGCCATTTTCACTTATTATCCTATCATGAGGCTCAAGATCTACGCTTATCAAGTTGCCCCTCCCCTCCCCCTTACCTGTCGAAAATGTATAGCTTTCCATCTCCCCCAACCGCCTTTGTCGTTACACACTATTACGTTGTGAACACACCAATTAAAATTCAGTCTGTCTCGCAAATTCGGGAGTAAAAACAACTTCTCCAATGGTCAGAGAAGAGGTCACGGTTCAATGTGATCCCGCCAGGAGCGAACGTGTAGGCCCTACCCACCCAGCGAGTGATGTAAGTTTAGGGGGATAGCTCAGGTGTGAGTGAGATGTTCGGGGAAAACAAACGTGTCGGTCAGTTCACACCCCGGTGTGATCCCGTCTAGGGCAAACATTGCATCGCTTCATCGAGTTTTACAACTTGCATGTGATCACATTCACGATAGTAGCTGATCTTTGATGCGATGGACAGTTTATTGATCTCAAATTTTCACTCTTGGTTGATCGGCTGTCCCGCCCGGGGTTTTTTTCCGCAAATTATGATCTGAAATGCGGGATCTTAGCCGAATGTAGACCTTCAGAGTGAATCAGAGCGGGATCTTAGGGGTGACTTTTGTATAGTAAAAATTCTGTTTTCTTAAAACAGCGGGATCTTAAGCGAACTGGGATCGTAAGTGGTGGGATCTTAGGCGGAGACTACTGTATTAAAAAGAAGCAATGACAAGCCAATCCACAGCATTAGTAAAATATTGCATAACATAAGTCACATGTGCAAAAAAACAACCTGTGTAATATCTTGCAAACAAATTAGTAAACTGAAACCCAACCCCCCAAACATTAATCACATTTCTAAAAGAAAGCAATATAAAAAAATGAGAGGACACAAAATGTCCACCAAAGTTTAAAATAAGAGTATATTCATTCAGGCGAAGGAACTAAAAATGAAAGCGCCAGTCAGCAACCTATTTCATTTAGATTAGCGTGTTCACTGATTTCTTTCAAAACAGTTCTTATCACTTACTGGGCTGCAGAAAATTGGTTGTGCAAATTTCTTTGTCAGTCCACCATAATGGTCATAATGAAAATGAGTCAGCACATATGCTTGGCAGTCTGGTATCACTCCATAGCGGAAGGCATCAACAGTAATTGCTGTCCCTGACACAGTTGAAAAAACAACAATTGAATTAATTATTAATGTTGAAAAAACAACAACACTGGAATAAACAACTAAATAATACATAGATATTCCCTCAAAAAGTAAAATTTAAGACAAAAATATACCATCATGTGCCACACAATTTCTCATTTTCAATTGTGTAAAAATAATGTGAATCCAAGTTTGTCAAGAACCTTGAACCTTCATGATACCATTTAGATTCATAGTTAGAAATGTACTTTGAAATACTTTAAATTTTAAAACCCTCCCCCAAAAAACAAAAGTTAAAAACTGCATCAAACAAACTATAGAAAACATCAGAAACTGACGTTCATTTTGCATTTCGTAATCAAATCCCTCACCTGGAATTTTCTTATAAAATGGACATTTTCTGCCCTTGACACCTTTTCCTTCAGTGCCACCATTGTTGTCCGCTCCTTGGCCTGTTGCACCTGAGTAAGACTTCTTGAAATCAGGTCTCTCATCATCTTTACTTGTCCTCACAGATCTAGCACCAGAAGGAAAGGTTTTCTCCTTACGTAAATCAGGTCTTGATTTCACGTCCAAGAATGCAAAACCAGGCTTGTGGTTGTTAGTCCCACTTTGACTGGACTCTCCTCCTTCCTTGGTTTTGGCAACTGATGATGAAAATTTTGGTTTGAAGAATGAAAAAAGGGATGTTTGCTTTCTGGCAACTGGTACCAAAGATGATAAGTTCCCATCACTTTCGATGCTTTGAGATCTACTTTGGAGCCCACTGGAACCCGATGACAGGGAATTTGACCTTGATTCATCAGTTTGGCCATTGCATGCACTGGAACTATCTGTACTTTGGTCATCTGCACATTTAAAATCTTCACAGTCAACAAAACCACCACCTTTCACATTACCACTAGTTTCAGCCAGCTCCTCATGAAAGATGCTGCTGGACCTAGATACCCTTACAGGAAAGCATTCCTCTCCATCAGGCGTGCCCTTCTCCTGCTTCTTAGCTGAGAACTGGGCATCACTGTTAAATGTTCCTTCTTGACAAAGCTCTATCAAATTCATATCGTCTTCAGAGTCACTAAAGACGTCTTCCTCGTCATCGTTACTTTGAATAACAACATCAACAACTTTGACTTTGTTCATTCCTTCTTCAAGGGAAGCATCACTGCTGGAAAAGGCCACTTTAGGCAATTCACCCTCATCATCTTCAGCGCCACTTTCAGCAATGTTTATATCTTCAACTTGGTCAGTTCGCTCATCATTCACAGTACAACTCGTTGGCTTAACCACTTCAGATGACTTTTCAACACTTTCAGACACATCTTCACTTTTCTGGAATGATTCATAATCTTTGTCAGCAAGCATATTCAATTTCTTTGTGGGTGCTTGGTCTGATGTACACATAGTCTTATCAGATACCTCTCCATTTTCATCTGATGAAGAGCAAATGAAAATTTCCTCAGACTCAGAACTTTTTCTCTTCAATGGCCTTTTTACACTCTTCTGGCTAAAAAAATTTTGAATGTTACCATGAGTATTACCGTGGCAGCTATCTTTTTCTTTCTGAGGGGAAATCGATAATTTCTTCTTTGACTGCGGAGTTCTTTTTTTGTCAGGTGAGGTTTTCTTTGATTTCCAATCTAGAAGTTTTTTATTCCTGCTCTGTGGTCCAGAATTGCCCTTTTTCTGACAACTGTCTGTTGTTGACTTTGATATAACTCGCTGTCCTTCCACAAAGTCAGAATCCACATCAATGACTTCTATTTCAGATGGCACTTTACATTTCACAGCATTTCTTAGCTCTGAACTTTCATTTCGCTTTTTTCCTTGTCCTTTAGGCTGATTTTCTGAAAAAGTTAAAAAGAAAAAAACAATAAATTGTCGACTTGAAAGTGCATCTTAAGGAATTAAATTGAAATACAGGATCATATACTTATAACAACAAGTAGGTTGCCACAAGCCGAAGTTTCAGTGTCTTTGTGGGCGTGGTTGTGGTTGTGTTAGTGTGTGTGTGTGCTAAAAACTAAATGACATTTATCAAAAAGAGGAACAACAACATCAGCTATGATGAAACTTTCACTCATGAAAGTAAACTAACTCATTGTGTATTCAAATCTGGATCTTCCATAATTTACACATATGTTTTCGAACAGATGCACACAAAGACCATTCGTATAAAAAAATATATTTGTACTTGTATGAATCATTGCTCGTCCCTGATCAAACAACTTCCCCTTTACTCAGACTCAAGATTATCGACTGGCATTTCAGCATGTTACAAAAAAGGGTAATTTTTGCTGCAACATTCAACCAACAGAGCAACCAAGAATTCTTAACAGGACTGAAGGTCATACTTCCCAAAGGGGAAGTAGATGCTAAACTAAAGTGTGATATAATAGACTTGGTATGAGTTAAACTAGGTCCTCAAAATATGGTGTATGTCATGGTCACTTCAGTCATAGTAGGGACTTTGAATTTTAAGTCTATTTGTGACATCTGATAAGATTTAGCCAAATGAAAGGAGAGCCTTAAAAAACTCTCCAGACAACGGATCAGAAAAATCCTTTTGAAGATTTAAAGCACGGTTTAAGAGTATAGTAGAGAATGAAAAGATAGCCTTTTTATATATATAAATATATATATATATACATGATGCAGTGCACCCACTCAGAAGCTGCACAGTGATGATTTATAATCTCTATTTCTCCCACATAAGAGATGATTTGCTGCAAGCTACCCTTGCCGCCGATTTGCTCCCTCCCTGCTCATCCCACCTCCTCCAGCTTATTTTGTAGATTTCAGGCTCCATGTTATAGATTTTTGACAAGTAGCCTCTGATACAGCAGTTCATGATGTCATTTTCACACACACACGACACAGAGAGAGAGAGAGAGAGAGAGAGAGAGAGAGAGAGAGAGAGAGAGGGAGGGAGGGAGGGAGGGAAAGAGAGAGAGAGAGAGAGAGAGAGAGAGAGAGAGAGACAGAGAGAGAGAGAGAGAGAGAGAGAGAGAGAGAGAGAGAGAGAGAGAGAGAGAGAGAGAGAGAGAGAGAGAGAGAGAGAGAGAGAGAGAGAGAGAGAGGCTCCCAGCTCTGAAAATATGCAATTTATTATAAACAAAAATAGGCCCTATCTAAAGATCAACTGAAAATAAAACTAAGATCTTTAGGTGGCATTCTCCGGTTTTGACCCCAAGAGTGAATATCGAACTGACTTAAATATTCGATATCGATGTTTTAGCCGAAAGAGAACCAGATATGGTGTGCTATTTTTCAGTGCAAAATAAGAAGAAATATTTCACTTGTTTTTAACTAGGGGGGTTTCCCCCCTGACATAATAAAATATGGAGTGTTTCGGGGGAGGGGGGGGGGGAAGAGCTGAATTTAACCTCAATTTAATGTTTTGCAATTATTACAGATTTGATATTTCTCGCTCACCACGTATCAAACATAATATCGGCAGGCGTGTTGAAAAGTAATCGTTTGGAATTTAGAACCTCAAGTAATCCTCCGAGGAGCCAAAGCCCACACTCAATAGTTATCGCCGAGGCCCAAACAGGATTATCCCCAAATTTCAGAGCAGTCATCGCCATCGCTATTTAAATTTAACAGAGGACAGCATTACAAGCCTTGCTACACCACTAACGTCATGCTCGCCCCGATGTTGACGGAGGGAGTAAAGCGGTTTGGTACTACTAAAGAAAGTGGGTCCCGTTTTGGGGATACTAGTTGTCACCCAACCGACAATTACTTCTGGTTCTAAACGATTACTTTTTGACACGCGTGCCGATATGGAGAGATACCCTATCAAAGCTAATTGCAAAACATCAAACTATGGTCAAATTCAGGGGGGCATGCCCCCCCCCCCCCCCCTGAAACCACCCCATGTTTTTGTAGGGTAAGCCTCCCTGAAAACCCCCCCTTGTCTAAACTTGCCTTGTTAAAAACAAATGATTTTTTACTGCTCATTTTGTAGGCTACAGATAAAACATCGAAGCCGAATATTTAAATCAGTATCGATATGCGGTACTCTGAGTGGATGACGCCAAGTCTAAACAGACAGGACCCACATTCTTAACCCTGGAAGCGCGCAAGCCCTATATACAGGGCGTGAGACGGGCCACCTGGGAAGTACGCAAGCCGTATAGGGTTGACCTCCTTCGAACGGGAAGCGCGTAGGCCCTATATATAGGGCTGACCAACTTCGACCAGGAAGTGCGCAGGCCCTCTATAAAGGGCATAGACTCTGACCTGTTTCAATGGAAAATTTCAGTATTCCTTAAAACAGTCGAACCTGTCTTAACAGAAACCTGTCTTAACAGAATCTCCTCCCTTGATATATATTCCTCTTTAATTACCTGTACAAAATGGAAACCTGTCCAACGTGGAAACGGAAAGAAAAATACGCTCCCTTCCGAGGGTTTCACCTGTCTAAGACGGAAAATGCTTTGCCCGTTCAACTCGCAAATTTTTTTCCGCCGGCTCTAAACTTAACGCCATGGCCATGCCGCTAGGCGAGGCAGAAGAGCAGGGGTGCAATTTGGGGGTACATATTACCCCATCATGTGAGCCCTGAGGGATGCACATGATCAGGGTAGTGTGGGTGTGAAATCTCACTATTGCCCGTGAGAGTGCTCGAGTAGCGAGTCACTACGGAAACTTTCCTAGGTAGTCAGAAGCCAGAGGTGTGAAATTAGCTTGACCAATGCCTGCCGCCCTGATCGTATGCCTGCTGAGAAAAGAGTTTCTTGAATCGTTGTTACATGATGATGGCAGTGAGGGGGTGGCATTGGTTGACTGTGCTTGTTACACCGATGGGTGGGGCTAAGGGTGGAAGCAAACATTTCAGTTTTTAATAGAAGGCCAAACAGTGGTCCTATGAAAGGCAAGCACTGGTGGTAATTTTATAAGTAAGACTGACGTATGTCATTATCAGGCAAGATAGCATTGAGAGGTGTGAAGTTTTGACCACTACTTGCCGATCAGAAAGCAATCCTTGATCCCACCGGCTAGGCCTTTGAACCAACCCTCCTTCTATCTCCTCTAAGACATAATTTTTTTCTGGCTCCCTTGCGATTCCGTCTTACACAGGTTCGACTGTATATATATTTTGTTATATGGAAAATGACGAAGTAAATTACAGTGACCAATGACTTTGCAAGTTATCTTGACCTCGTAGTGCGTCTCTTCGCCAAGAATCAATCAATAAAGTGACGCGGTCCAGCTGAGCGACTACACGCTATGTGTGTTATCATTATCACTAGTTCCGCTGTACTAATGTACTAATTCAATTGTTGAGTTTATCGTGTCTAGCGCTTTGCTTCGTTTGTATTTTTATTTGATCGCTTTTTTTAATGACTCATGTGAATTCTATCAGCTTTTAGAAAACATGGTTTTATATATATAGTATATAGATCGAAGTGGCTAGCTGTACTTAAGAACGGCTAGACTGCCAGTCTAGCCGTACTTAGATCTAGGTTTGGCCCTATCGACTGAAGCCTGTTAAGTACACAGGTTTCATTAGATCTAGATCTAGTAATTATTCAGGTTCAAATACATGCAAGTCAAGGCACTTTTTGGTTTTGTCTGAAATACAAATACTTTAGGCATTGCAAACTAAATATTTCAATTAAAATTCAGCCATCAATATTAAGTATGGCTAGCCTGACAGTCTAGCCGTCCTTAAGTACGGCTAGCCTGGCTGTCTACCTGTACTTAAGTACGGCTAGACTGCCAGTCTACCCGTACTTATCTTAGACTAACTTAGGCCCTATTATTAACATTAGAAAACAGGAGGTTTAAAATACATGCACTGTCATTAAGGCACCTGGTTTCGTCTCAAATACAAATACTTTAGGTACTGCACACTAAAAATTTATATTTACAATTCAGTAGGCCTATTTTTTTTAAATGGTCAGTCTAGCCATCATATTTAGAATAAGTACGGCTAGACTTCCAGTACTGAATTAAGTACGGCTAGCTTCTTCCTATATAGATCTATGCCTTTTATCATCTGCTGAGCCGTAAAGTAAATGGTCATTTTTTCAGTAGCAGGTATATACATCTCGGGTATCTCAGCTGATTATATCCCCCCGTCAAACCCCTGTATAGAGTTTACAACCGATCGGCAGGGCATTTTTGGCGGGTTACATATAAACTTCTGGTGAAATGCTGAGGCTGAGCACTTCTCTTGGGTTAAGTAGCAGATCTAGATCTACCAGAGGTTTGAATGTGCTATATATGAATAATGTATCATGTTAGCACTTACTTGGGACTGGGACTGGTGGAGGTTTTCCTCGTCTTCCACTCGTCGATGATGACGATTTGTAATCCCAAATATCGTCCTCTGAATCGGTTTCTTTTCTCATCTTACACTAGCAAATAGATCTATGAAGAACAATAAAACAGTTTCTTTCTTGTCAGCCAAACAAAACTTTTAACCCAAGACGTCCAGAGTCCAGAGGAGAAGAACACAGCAGGTAAAAATGTGCGCTCTCAGCATTAGCCAAGAAGTGACTGTGATGACAATGATGATGAACAAGTGGACAGTTAGATCTATTGTTTAGTGTTTACTGTTCATACTCCTATTTGACAGGTACTACGAACATGTGTAGGCCTATTGCCAGTAAAAAAAAAGAGAGTCAAAATCTCTCTATTATAGTTTCTAAAATTCATATTTCTTGAAATAGATGAAACAAAATAGCAGAAAACTACCACCAGTGACTTACAAGCAGATAATTATTATATACAATTTTCATTTAGAACTTCTGATTCGGCATTTATTCAATAATATTAGAAAACCAAGCTGGCAAACAAGAGCTGAATTTTTGAAAAGTGTTGCAGCAACCAACAGTATAGAATGTCTCTTCGCTCTATCATTTGTTGGTGTTTCTCATGGTAGCACCTCTAATAATAGTACATTAATAATACACACAATACCATGACCTTGGATTTTCATAAAGTTACTGAAACTGTCACATTACATAAAATGCAAATTGAGAACCAACTTTAAATCAAAGCAGAAGTGTGAGGAAAGAGACTGAGGCATGAAAATGGAAGGGAAGAGAGAGAGAGAGAGAGAGAGAGAGAGAGAGAGAGAGAGAGAGAGAGAGATAGATAGATAGATAGATAGATAGATAGATAGATAGATAGATAGATAGATAGATAGATAGATAGATAGAGAAAGAGACAGTGGGGGACGGAGAAAGAGAGAGAGAGAGAGAGCGATAGAGAGAGAGGGGGGGGAAGAGAGAAAGACAGAGAGATAGAGAGAGAAAGAGAGAAAGAGAGAGAGGGAAAGAGAGAGAGAGAGAAAGAGAGAGAGAGAGAGAGAGAGAGAGAGAGAGAGAGAGAGAGAGAGTGAGAGAGAGAGCTCAACAACAATAAACGTAAGCAGACGACTTTCTCTCTTGCCCCCCCCCCCCCCCAACTTTTCTCTATATTTAAAACTCAACCCAAAATATTTATTTTTAAAAAAAAGAATAAACTGTTGTTGTTTTTTTGTACAAAAAATGGTTTTAAAAAGGGGTGGGGTGGGGGATGGAGGTCATCAACAAATTTAAGCTGACGACTTAGTATGCACTTCAAGCATGAGCATACATGGTAACCAATGTGCATATATTTGTTCCGACCTAGAGAGACTGCGTCGAAGAACAGGCCCCGTCATTACTCGTGCTCGCATTGCCATTGCAGCATTAATCTTGACACATACATTTTTTTTTGTGGTGAGTATTTTAAGGCGCTCGCAACTGCTTAAGGTCATATGGGCGCTCGGGTCACATTAAACTTAAACGTTTTCAATTGGACGGAAAATTTTGAATTTTGCCCGGGTGGCTTCCGAAGTCTACTCTGATTGGTTTTCAACATTCAAGGGATCTTTATCGTGCGCATCTTATACACGGGGCCTCCGAGATTGTTCGCCTTTTCCCGAGAAGGCCAGGTGTTAGATCTTATCAACCATAAAATCAGGAGTGTGGATGAAAGACAGTAGCAGTGAGAAGGAACCGAGGAAGAGCAGTAGAAAGGCTGCAGAAAGAGTCAGTCGCCCAGATGAAGGGGCAAAGGGGAAGGGGGGGGGGGGGCATAAAGTGGAGACGAAAGTAAACGACAGAATATGGTCAGCGAGCAGGAAAGGAGGTGAAGCGAGAAAACTTTGGAGAAGAACATTTTTCGTCGTTGTCCGGATTTGAACCCGGGATCTATTGAATGAGAGGGAAACACGACCACGAGAGCCCCTTACGCCCGTGCGTATATTGCTTTACGTCTTTGTCACTGTTAAGAATGTTATTACTTAGGGGATGAGTATAAATCTTTTAAGTCCCTATTGACATAAATAAGGCTATGTAGATGTCAGCCGGATTCCACTCTGCCAGTCAGATTCAATCCACGAGTGGAAGAGATACAGTATTCTGGTAAAAAGTTAAAAATACTTGATAAAATAAACTTTCCCACACCAACATCAAAGAGAAGTCTAATCTTTTTGCAACGGCAAAAATCCTAACCAGTAGGCTACACATTAGAAGCTGGTATAGCTAAGTTTACGGCGCTCGCAACTGCATACGGTCAAATGAGTGCGCAGAAGCTGGTGAGCCGCTGCGTTATAGTTATTTAGATCTACATGTAGAAAGAGTGTGAACGCTCATCTTACGATA